CGTTTAGATATGCTCTTAGGGAGAATAAAAATTTTTTTGATGGAGTTTGTACATAAACGTGTGGTTATTTTCTCGGCATCAATGTTTGTGTCAGCATAAGACACCATATTTCTACCATTGCTAGTTGTTGTTGCGTTATTTCCATGTGCATTTATTGTTGTTATTTCGTGTTGAACAGAGGTGTTTTCTGGTGTTGTTGCTTTGTCATTCATACAGTTTGAGGTAATGCTGGAAGTTGTTAGTTGTGAAGTGACTGAGGTATATGTATGTTCTTGTTGTTGGTGTTTTTTGTTATATATGGAATATGCTCTTTTTATATCAACTTTTTGTAGTATTTTTATTGCTGCGATGTCTCGTTTTTCTATAAACACGGAGCATTTTTTGTCAAAAGTTGAATGTTTGTGATTGTTGTGGGCTCTGTCTGTGCAATTGACGCAAGTTGTGTCAGTTTTACATGTTTTCATTTCATTAGCATCGGTGTATTGTTTTTGCCTACAAACTTTTTGCGTGTGTCCAAATTTCAGGCAATTGTTACAGTGCATGGGGTAGGGAATGTATGCTCTTATTTTAGTTCTTTCATAGCTGATATGTGTCGGTTCTTTGTTCAAGTTAGTTGACGATATAAGTATATTTACATAAATATAAATGAATCGAATTGTTTTGTGAAGTTTATGCAGATGAGCGTTGCCTTTATGATTGCTGATTTTTGCAAATTGGTACACGCTTTAACTGATAATTGTTTAATTAATTTAAGAAATAAATACTAAAAACTTATTTTGTATTTGCAAAACACGCGCGGTTAATTTGGTTTTGTTTTTATACATACAAAACAGCTGACAGAGACAGCAATTAATTGTTTGTTTTTTTTTTTTGTTTTATTAAAGAAAAGCTTATAATCAGCTGATAGAGACAGCAAGTAAAGCTTCAATAAGAAGTGCGAACAGTGTTGTAAAACTGTTAAATTACTGCAGAAATATTGTTCTTTTTATCGTGTAATTGTGTAATTGATTCCGTATATAAAATAATTGTTACAATGAAAGATTGTTATAAATGCGGTGGCGGCATACGCGGTGAAACTGGTCTAATATGCAGAGGAATTTGTGGTAGAGCATATCACACCTCCATAAAATGCTCAGGGATTGAACAATTTAATGTAAATTGTCTTAATAACAGTATGATACAATTTATGTGTGAAGAGTGTGTGCAGTATATTCATAATACTGATTTTGCAATTAAACAAATACAAAGCAGTGTAGAAAAAAATCAATCGTACTTAAAAGCCTACAAAGCAGAATTCAAAGAGGCTCTTAAAACTAATGAAAATGAAATAAAATCCTTGTTAAAGGCTGTTGAGGCTAGATATAGTGAAAGAATAAAAAAGCTTATTAATATTCAAGAAATTTATGAACAAAAATTCAGCTCCTTTGAAACAAAATTAGCTGATATGACAAAAAGTGTAAAAGAACTCGATGAGAAAATGTATAAAACACCTATTAACAAGGATCAGCCTAGTTTTATTACCTATGCTGCTAAGTTGAAATCAGGTTTAAACAAAAATGTGCCAATCACTCTTAAACCAAAGAATAAACAGCAAACTGAAGAAACAAAAAAGGAATTAAAGCTAAAAATAAATCCATCTAATCTTAATGTTAAAATTCATGGTTTTATGAGTGCGCAGGATGGAGGAGTAACAGTGAAATGTGGTACTACTAAAGATAGAGAAATTTTAGCTAGTGAAATAAAGAAAAAACTCAGTGACAATTATGTTATTTCTACACCGGATATGCGTAATCCTAAAATATTGATATGTGGAATGTCTGAAAAATTAGATGATGATAAAATTATAAATGCAATTAAAAATCAGAATGAGATTGTTTTTTGTTCAATTAAAGTGCTAAAGGTATATGAATCATACAAAAACAAAAACGCTTTTAATGCTATTGTTGAATTAGACAGTACTGCATTTGCTAAAATAATGAAAGAGCGTAGAATTAATGTGGGTTGGGATAGATGCCTTGTTTATGAGAGTTTTAATGTAATGAGGTGCTTTAAGTGCTGGGGCTTCAATCACAAAGCAAGTGTATGTAAAGAAAATGGAGTGACTTGTGCAAAATGCAGCGAAATTGGGCACTCTCATAAAGAGTGTGTAAGCAGCATTGTAAAATGTATAAACTGCGTGAAGATGATAAAAACTCGTAATCTCAAGGACATCTCTACAGATCATGATTGCAGGGATATGAACTGTAAAACTTTACAACGAAGACTTAAATTTGAGGCAGATAAAATTAATTATCAATCATGAATGATCATAAAACCATAATAAACATTCTTTGTGCTCAAAATAATAATTTCAATATAGTTCATTTTAATGCCAGAAGCCTAAATGGTCTTAAACTTGATCATATAAAATCAGTGTTTGAAGACTCCAGTGTTGACATTATTTGCGTTTCTGAAACATGGTTAGATAATGAGATCAGTAGTTCATTTTTTTTCTATAAAAGGTTATGTTTTATATCGCCATGATAGAAAGAACAGAAAAGGAGGTGGAGTTGCAATTTATTGCAAATCTTATTTAAGTAGTCAGTTAATAAGTACTTCGGATGAATCAGATATTGAATTTATTTGTGTGTCTATTGGCTGTCACAGTAATAAAATTTTAGTTTCCTGTGTCTACAATCCACATAACCGATTCTCATGCGATCCATTATTCGACTCGCTTCTCTCAGTTGTACATAAATATGATTTTATCGCAGTACTTGGTGATTTTAATTATGACTTTTTAGTAAATTGTAGTAAAGTCTTGAAACTAAAAGACTTATTAGCCATGATGGGCCTAAGTGTCATTAACGAAACTGAACCAACTAGATACTGTAACAGTGTGCGACCTAGTCTTTTAGATATATTTGCTGTATCGGATCCTAATAAAGTCTTACTATTTGATCAAATCTCTTTTATATCTGATCATGATTTATTGTTTGCTACATTGGATTTTAACCCAAACAGGAAATCTAGTCCTAGCTCTTTTTCTTACAGAGATTTTAAATCAGTTGATACAATCAGATTATTTGATGAACTCAATACTGTTGATTGGAGTGATTGCTGGTTTGCTTCAACTTCTGACGATAAATTAGATAAATTTAATAATATATTTTGTCAATTTTTTTATCGATTTGTTCCGCTGCGGACTATTACTATTAAAAGTTCCTCCTATCCTTGGCTAAACCCTCAGATTAAAAGAAAGATAAATTACAGAAATAAAAAGCATGCAGTATGGAAAAAGTTTCCTTCGACCTATAACTGGTTGCGGTTTAAATTAGCTAGAAATTTAGCTGCGAAGGCAGTAAGCATGGCTAAATCGGCGTTTTATAACATTAAGCTTGACACTACACAGACAACAAAGAATATCTGGAGGAACATTAAACATTTGGGATTAAAGCAAGATAGTACAACACATTGTGAACTAAGTCCAAATGACCTAAATGACTACTTCATTTCGTGTATTAATGTAAAATGTAAAAATATCTCTTCGACATTTCCAATTTCTAATGTATGTACTTCCAATGAGAGGTTTAATTTTATTGGTGTTATTGAAGAAATAGTCTGTAAAAGCTTGATGAATATTAAATCAAATGCCGTTGGATTGGATAACCTTCCTCTCAAATTTCTAAAGCTCACTTTGCCGTACATAATAGCTCCTATTACACATATAATTAATCATTGTATAACAACGTCAACCTTTCCCATTATGTGGAAAAAGGCTAAAATTATTCCAACTCCGAAGAAGACTAACGCTTCGTTGACTTGTGATTACAGACCTATTAGTATTCTTCCATCACTGTCCAAAGTTTGCGAGCTTTTAATGGCTAATCAAATTAATGTTCATCTTGAGTGTTTCCAACTCCTCTCTCCATTACAGTCTGGCTTTAGAAAGGGTCATAGCTGCTCTACTGCCATGCTTAAAGTTTTAGAAGACGTTCGACCTAGCTATGATAATGATATGATCACATTTTTATGTCTTTTAGACTTCTCTAAAGCATTTGATCGTGTTGATCACTCCATACTATGTAAGAAATTAACTAATAATTTTTTGTTTTCGTACTCTGCCTCTAAATTTATATATAGCTATTTAACAGGGAGATCGCAGACTGTATTCTCTGCTAATAAATATTCGAATTTTAAATCGTTGCCTACTGGTGTTCCACAAGGGTCAATCCTCGGCCCACTGCTCTTCTCAATATATATAAATGATGTTTTCTCCATATGTAAATACTCCAAATTACATGCATATGCAGATGATATTCAGATGTATCTTTCGAGTACTGTAGGTTTTTTAGATGGCAGTGTTCGTAAGCTTACTGATGACTTAGAAAGAATTAATGCATGGGCAAAAGTAAACAACATGCTGCTTAATGCAGATAAAACAATTATTCTGCCTATTGCGAGAAGAAAAA